TTGTAACAAAAATATTCAATTTATTTATTTAGGAAATAAAAAATTTATTATTATTATTATTAAGTTCTTCTCCAAATTTTTCAAAAATGAACCTCAACAATAATAATAATAAAATAATAATAATAAAATAATAATAATAATTTTTTTTGTAAACTATGATTATTATTGCTCCTAAATATTTTGAAATTTTTATGTAGAAAATTTGTTTTTTGTTTAAATTTCAATTACTTGTATTTTTATTTTTCTTTTTTCAGATGTTCTATTCAACATATTATCAAAGCATAGATCCCTAAGTTCCAATTATTGTTTTTTTCTATTATTTATGACTCATTTCTCATTAATTAATGACTATATTAAAGAAGAAAATTAATTTTGTATCACTAATGCACAAGGATCAGTGATTCACATAAAACTACTTGAAAAAATGCAAATTACCTCAAAAATAAAATAAAATAAAATGTTAATGACAGATAAAATGATAACAACTCACCGACAGAGGACAGCAGAGTATCACGCCGCCCAATAAATCTGTGTAAAAAAAACCCTTTTTCGCACGACACGGTCGATAAATAGAAAAACTAATTACCGTAACTAGTAGAAAAAAATAAATAAAAAATTCAACGAGTACTTAGTCAAGCTTATTATTTATGACGAGCTCTCAAAAGATTCACTGTTATGCAATGAGCAACTGGTGGCACACGCGTGATACTCGAGATGGAGTTCGGGAAGATCCACTAAATAAATAGTGTCACCTGTCACTAATATTTGACATCTTTATAGCAGAGATATAAAATTATTACTTTCAGGTAAAAACACGTGGTTTGAAGTTTAATTAAGCGCGTTTTTGGGAGTACTAAGGCGAAAAGTTGGATAAAATGGCCAGATGTGGCCACACTCGGCCACCACACTGTCTACACTGGCAAGACCATTTTCTACTTACGAGCAAATGCTTGACGGTAGGATGCGTGCGCACGTGCTGCTCATATTGTAAAAATTCGATATTTGAAGTTTGATATTTTTTTTGAGTCAAAATTTTTATTTCTTAAAATATTATTTTTAAAATTTTTAATAATTCATTTTTAAAAATTTTTAATAAATAATATTGGAAAATTTTTGAATCAAAAATTGTAAATTTAATAATTAATAATTTAATTTTCAATAATATTTAATAAATTAATTTAATAATAGTAATTTTAATAATTTTTTTTTTTTTAAGAAATTTTAAGACCTTTAATATAATAAATATTTTTCTATTTTAATTACACCTCAAAACTCAAAATAGTTTTTAAATTAAATAAAAATCAAGTTTAAAAAAATATAATTATTGCTAAAATTTTATTTCAAAATTTTCCTAAAAAACTCTATAATAAATTTTCTGAAAAAAAATATATAAAATCTTCTACTTCCTATATTTAATCAAAAAAAAATTAGTTCTCAATTACTTTGCAGTAAATTGAAGATTAATTAACAGATAACACGAGATTATGTCCACTGAAAAAGTGCAATAAGAAAAAAAAATAATCGGCTTACAAAAATCTAATTTAAAATTATTGATGCATAGAAAGCGTTGCAATGAAGCGTATCAATAAAATATTAAAATCAAGCGAAGCGTATAATAAACTTTTGATGGTACAGAGTCTAACATCGAGCACTTGTGTCCCTCTGTGAGTAAAGTAGAAAACCACTCACCCATAAGCTGGAACGTTGGAGCCACATATATACACACACAAACATAAATTTTTCTCTCTGTTTATCAAACAAAGAGTTCTCGCTCTTTTTACCCTAGCGGAGTGTGTAGTAGGTAGAGGTTAGAGGTAGAATACACAAGTGGAATCAAAGATGGCGAACTGAGCTGAGGGTAGGGCTCGTCACAGCGTTCGAACATCAGTGTTCCTGGAGGAACTGCGAGGTACTTAGAGCTGACTGGTGAGTACTCAAAATTTCTATAACCTCTTCTTTACCTTGCATGGAGTTTAGTTGAATAGAAATCCAAAGGATTAAATTTTTTTTAATGCATGATCGTAACAGAGCTTGTTGTTTCTTTGTTGTGTCGAATGTGGTGTATATTGAGAAAATAGAGGACAGAGCATAGAATTGAGAGACTTGATACTGTAACTATGGTTGAAAGTGTGCTCGGGAAGTTCAATGCGCACATACGTGTGTCACTCTTCACTCTTTTGAAGAACTCTGTGAGAAAGAAAGAGAGAGAGTATATATGCGCGCGCGCGTTTTTCTCTTGTTTATATCCACGTGCGTGTGCTCTCATTTCTCGTTAATACTTTATTATACTTTTACATATACCGCTTATATGTTATTTTTCTCTATACTCTCTTTATAACACTCCCTACCTTTCCGCTCTGTTTTTACATGTGTGTTGCTCACATTTTTAGTCAGATAATCTATATTACGTACATGCGATGTTATATTTTACTTTAGTTACAAACCGTTTATATATTTGCTCGATTTTTTTATTTCTTATCGCGATCGAATCGAGGATTTATTTACAGAAATGAGGTGAACTTTTTTTTTTAGTTTTTTTAGGAAAGCAAAAATTGGAAATTTGAAAATTTTTTTATTAGAAAATTAAGATTTTAAAAGAAAATTTGATATTGATAATTAGGAGAGTAATTTTAAAGTGTAATTATGGGTGTTTATATTTTAATAAAATAGAAAAAAATTTTTTTAATACAAATAAAAATGTTGAAAATTATTAAGAAATTTTACGGGAAAAAAATGGTATAATTTGATAATTAAATTAAAACTAACATTATTGATTCACAAAATTAATCATTTTTATATGAAAATAATCATACATTTATTGTAACATAAAAATTTGTTGAAGTAATAGTCAAAAGTTGAGTGCTCACAAAATTTTACTTAAAAAGAATTTAAAGCTTAAAATTCTTGCTTCAAAACAACACCAATCTTTTTTACTAATTTTTTGGTTCAAGAAAACTTTTTTTCTTTGGTAAAAGTAGCTATTTTTTTTATATATTACAAATAATTTACTTAAATAATAATTGAACCAATGACTTGTTGAAAAAATTGAGAAATTTTCATTTTATCATACTCAAAAAGACGATTAGATTAAAAAAAATTTTCCGGAAGACTTAAGCTGTTTTAGATCAAGAAAAAATTTTTTTATAAATGTTCTTGGCTTTCCTACATATTTTTTTTAGTCAATAAAATTATTTCTCCTGTAAATAATTTTTTTTTCAGTGTAAATATCTCTTAAAATTTATATACAAAGCTACTATAAAACAATCAAATCAATAAAACCTCATTTCTGCAGTGACAAAACAATGTGACAGACGTATAAATCCAACATTAGCAAAATAAAAAGTCCATCGATCATTGAGTTCGATAAGCTGCATCAAGGCCAGCCTTATCGCAAACCAAACAAAATTTCCATCCAAGCTATCTAAAAAAACCGTTCCAAATCCCAAATAAATTTCTCGCTTAACAAAAATTGCATGCCTGATAAAAAAAAACGGCTTTGGAATTTTGACCTTTCTTTACAGATGGTGATGGTAGGGGGGTAATCAGATCTTGAGCCACTGGGAGTAGAAGAATCATACTACATATCACTATACTACTACTACCACTACTAATATAAAAAAAGCTATCGTCTATTATGTCATCTATCAAAAGAGCGCGTCTAACTTGGTCTTTAAGCCCACTGAGTAATACCGGGGACCGGAAGTAATTTAATTAGGAGCGGCGTGCAGGGGCACGTACTAGCACAATCGCTCCCACAGCTCTTACAGTCTTAATATATAACATATAACATACACGTCCTCTATTTATAATATCCACTCTAGTCATTATTCACGGCTACAAATAAACCCATAAACTGTAAATCGCCTCCATGAAAAATTCTAGCCAAACTAGAGTTTGAAATCATCAAAATCTATTTAGAAAAAAAAAAAAAAAAATTAATTCTTCAAATTTGTTAAATTTAAAATTGCGAAGAATTAGCTGCGACAGAAGAACCATTGAATTGAATTGAAAAGAGGGTGAAAGCTCTCATACTCAGGTACGTCGACAATATCGACCTTGTAATTGCGCCTGCGTGGTAAAAAGCGCGCAATAATAAAGTACCTCTCATAAATAGAATTAGTATTAAAGCTATCTACAAAAAGCGACCCCGGGAAGATTTATAGAAAGAGCTTGTCTTGCTCCATTCAGTTATTCATTCATGGATTGAATTTTCCGAGGCAGGAGATTCCAACGCCTTGATCGACCCAGAATCGTCAAAAAGATAGACTTAAAGTAATTTCGACGCTTAAACCCAATGAAAAGAGTAAAAATGTCAATTGGTGAAGAAATCGGTGATAATTCCTTGAAGCTAATCTATAAATAATGTTATCGATTGCCCAGGTCGATAACGCAACCACTATTGTGTAACGTTAAATATAATATATGAGTGGAAGTAATACAAAGGAAAGAAGACAAGACCTTATTATTGAAATAATTTGTGGCGATAAGCTTCGATAAAACCTCGCACGTCGACTACACGCTACATTCTTCGGTAAATGCGTGTGCCTAGTAGATGTGTGTGTCATATGTGGATGTGTGTACGCACTGAATGATAAGGGACAGACATACGGACGGTTTTCCGGGTGTGACTTTTGTCCGCGGTCAGTCGAAGTAGCGAAGCTCGTGCGATCAGTTTACTTTAAGTAGGTCTCTTTATTTTTCTTTTTTTTTTTTTTTTTCGTTACAATTGATATTGTTACAATATATTACTTGAAGTAAATTGTAATTAAAAGAACACAGTGAGATAATTAGTTAAAATTACAAAGCAATTTCTGCAAATGTAGCCTTGGATTGATAAAATGTCTTGCTGTGTATGTACATGTATTGATAAGAGGTCGTTATGTTTGTTCTTTGTTTGATAACGCCAGCGTTAAAGTCTCTGGAGCCGCGCAAGTGTAGATCGATTAGATATTATAATAAAATATACTTGTGAAATTTATTAGTCTGAGAGAATATTGAAGATGACAAACACCCAGGAAAATGGAATGCAAGTGTCTGGTGAAGTTCAGGAAGAAGTTGAACTTACGGAGCTTTTGCCGGTTGAGCAGTCTAGGATTGCCAAAGATTTTAAGGACTTGGAAGGTACGGACGGGCTTAAGGCATTAAGAAGTTTCGCGGGAAGTGAATTTGAGGGGTTCAAAGTTTTTAGGAAGGGTAAGGGTAGTGATAAGAGTGAGGGATTAGAAATTGGAGATCAAGAAGGGAAGAAGAATTACAATTTAAGGAAAAAGAGGAAGCTTGATTATCTCAAGGATGAAGTTTATTATTACCAGCAGGATTCTGAAGAGGAAAGTGATGACAGTAGCAACCAAAATGTCTCGAACAATGTCATCAAGGACATGGCGAACAACTTCAGTGGTAAGGGTGAGAAGAGAAAGAAGGTGAAAGCAGAAGTTGCCAAGAAGAAGGAAAAGATTTTGGAGAACAATAATGAGAGTGAAGCTAGCAAGTCTGAAGACAAATCTGAGAAGAAGTACTGTTGTTTGATGTGCGATGCAAAGTTCAAAGGAAGCGGAGGATTGAGAAACCATTGGAAGGTTGTGCATGCAGATGGTCCGTTTTATAAGTGTGATGATTGTGGCAAAGAATTTCCGCTAAAAGAACGATTGAAACTGCACGTTCGCACCCATACGGGGTTCAAGCCCTACAAGTGCAGCGAGTGTGACAAAAGCTTTGCAAGAGGAGGGCAATTGGCGCAGCACAGAAGGACTCACAGTCACGCAAAACCCTACCACTGCTCGCTTTGTTCAGGAACCTTCACCTGTGCTGCGAATCTGGCTCTGCATATGAAGCGACACAACGGGCAAAAGGATCACAAGTGTGATATCTGTGGCAGAGGATTCATCAGAAGAGATGCGCTGAAGAAGCATCTTGAGTGTCTGCACAAAGATGTTAAGTCCTTTTTATGCGTGATCTGCAACAAGACCTTCAAAGGACACCTGCCTCAGCACATGAGGACCCACTGCCAGGAAAGACCTCACGGGTGTGCGACCTGTGGTCAGAGATTTGCACAAAAGTCCCAGCTTACTGTTCATCAAAGAACCCATTCTGGACAAAGGCCTTTTAGGTGTCTTGTTTGTTGGCAAGCTTTTGCCCATTCGACTGCTCTTAAGTTACACACTAGGAGGCACACTGGGGAGAGGCCTTTTAAGTGCACCGAGTGCAATGTTGGATTCACCCAGTTGCCGCACTGGAAGAAGCACATGAAGTGCATTCACAAGCGCCTTGAACCCTACAGTTGCAAAAATTGCAACAGTTTCTTTCGAATTAAAAATGACTTGGAGAGCCATGAGAAGATGTGCTTGGCTGAAGAAGATTTGGAGCCTGCTGCTGATGACAATCAACGGTTTCGGTTGATGAGCATCGAGAAGATGAGGCTGTTGTTGGCTGTTCTGTTGAAAAGGATATCCAAACCGGAGAAGCTTGACGAGCTTGGCTTCGGGAAGAGACTTATTGATGAAGTCCTTCAGGATTCTTTGGTTTCTGCTGGAAGAGATCCAGTTGGGGGGGACCTTACGGAGTTGGAAGCTCTGAGGAAAAATATTGAGACGTTTTTGGAGTGGACGGTCCCTAGGGAGCATTGGGAGAACTTCAAGAAACTCAACAAGACCCCGGAAGAAATCCTTGAGACTCTGACGGCTACCTAACGGATTGATGCGTTGCTGAGGAATAAACTTTTAGTGCCATCTACCGTCTGCTGGATATCCTTGCCATATTATTGTGATTATGTTATAAGTGTTTGCTTTGTACTTTGGATGCTTGCCAATGGATTTGTTGGAAAAATTTATAAGGTTTAAGTGCACTTTTATTACATTAATAATTAATTATTTAATGCCAAATTTATAGTCTTTACGTTGTGTTATCGATGGAGGAGTTTATATTGTTAAGTAGTTAGATCACTTTGGCTTTATATTTACTTGTGTTATTAAGTTTTTGAAAACTTAAGTTTAGTTTATTATTATTATTATTATTATTATTATTACTATTATTGGATGGGTGGGTTATAGAACTGCGATAGATAGGTGTAAGTCCATGTGAACAGACAATAATGATATTAACTAATGTATTAGACACACGATTATTTATGATATTCTTAACGATATCGTAGGATCTTATTGAGTATAGGAGTTTTAAGGATAAGAAAGCTTTGGCGATTAATCACTGACTGATAATGGTACTAATTTCTTTCACTTCCAAAGAGTTTTACAAAGATGTTCTTTTTTTACCAAAGTTTGTCCAATTTTTTAGTTTGCTTAAGATATAAATTTACGGATTTTTGAAAAATCGTAATGTTTAATCATTAATTTTAGTTTGTATTTTAAAAATGTTTGATCACGATAAAATTGTGAATGCACATACTGAAAAAAAAGATGTAGAATATTGAAAAAATTTAGAGTTTTTTTACTTAGATCTTTTGTGAAATGATTTTTTTTAATTTTACGGATAAGTAAAGCCTATTGTTAAGTTTAATGAATGCAAAAAAAAAACCTTTTTATTATGATTATTAAGCAAAAAATATAAATAAAACGGTTTGTATTGTTATGGATCGGAGTCACTGAATAAAGATTGAGGTCATTGAGGGCATCATTTGACTTGACGATAAGGGAAACCTTGTATCTTTTAATATCATTCATCGGATCCGGTACCGTAAAAAATTACCATTTTTGACCGGCGGATCAAACCAAAAAATAATGATTTTTAGATATTGTTTCCTACCGACTAATTTAGTGCCATATTTTGTTTAATTAAAAAACTATTTTAATTTTATCATTATCTTTATTTTTTATTTAATAAAAAACGTTATAAATTGTTAACATTAGCTTGAATAAAAATTCTAAAATATATGCTTATATCATGTAAATTCATCACAATCATTATAATAATAATAACTACCTGTATTAGATAAAAACACGTATAAAATATTTACTATATTTATATAAAAATATAACCTTACAAAATTAATTTACCCTATTGACCACGAGATTGACCAACCTTCTTGTAAGTCAATTGTCGTTGGTTTAATTTTCAAGTACTGAAAGATAAATAAATATTATTATAATCTCATAAATTTATTGTTGAATTAATTATTTAATATTTACTTACTTGTAACTCAAAGTTGTGTTCAAACTCCTCGATCCTGTTATTAACTATAACTTTTTGAACAACGCCCACTACACCCATAATTTCAACTTTTCCTAATCTCATTTTTTCCTTTATTTTATTTTCAGCCGGAGAAGAGACTATTGTCATGTTATTCGCCTCAAAAGTCAAGAAAACGTATTCCTTTTTTTCAATAGTGCCTAAAACATAAATTTAAAAAATGTTAGTTCATTATTTAGCCTTTTTCTACGGATAATTTCAGCAAAGGTAAGTCAAATTTTTTTTTAAACCAATAGAGTCGCCATCATCCCAAAACAATTCGCCCTTAGCACGTCCATGTTCATCAAGAGCGACTAATAGTTCAAAATGATTGTTACGGCTTTCGGTGGTCGTTTTTCCCGGCTTTTGGGCTGGTAAAATAGACCCACCACGGATGAAAATAGGTATCAATTCAAGCGGAGCAACATATGTTAAAATATCTCCGTTTGTAACACTTATTTTATCGTAGTAGTCATACCAAATTCCTGTAGGAAGATATGCGTTTACATCTGTTTTACCCTGGAAATATGTTTATTTTATTAATTTATTGTCATTAGTTGTTTTTTATCAGAAACCCCCTTAATGACGAGAAAAATTTATCATTACCTCTTCGAGAACCGGTACAATCATTAAAGAAGATCCCCAAAGAAATTGTGCATCAATATTCCAAGTCACATTGTCTTTAGGAAACCTTAAATTTTTTTTTTTTAACAATGATTTCTTTCATTTTTTAATGAAGATGATCAAAATTTCAATAATAATCTACTTACTCGACAAACAATGGACGAGCAACAGTTTCGCCGTACATATGAGCACGAGCAAAAAGAGTGTAGAGGTATGGCAAAAATCGGTAGCGTATATTCAAAGCTTTTCGAGATGATGATGTAACCAAATCTCCCATCGCTACTGGATCTTGTTCCTTGAACAATTTAAATTTCCGTAAAATTTGAATCTGATAATAATTTATTGTTTAGTAACTTACAATAGTATCATCTGAGTTATGATTTCGTGAAAATGGGTAGAATGCACCTAATTGCATCCATCTGTTACACAACGCTGCCGTGGTATTACCATCGAATCCACAAATGTCTGCTCCAACCATAGGAATTTGGAACAGACTGTACTGCAGAATTTCTGGGATGCTCATTTTCAGATCATACCTATAATTTCAATCATTACTGTTTCTTTCTTTTATAATTGTTCCAATTTTGTGTTTTTTCACAAAAATATGAATAAAAATTTCCAAAAAAAAGCCTATACTTTTTCAACATGAATACACTTCTTAAATAAATTAACTTTATTAGGTTAAAATTTGAACTTTCAAAACGTCAAAAAATAAAAATACAACTTTTGAATTTAAAAAAAAATTATCTGCTACAAAACAAAATTATTCATAATTACCAACTAGAATAAATATCCCCAGTCCAATGAGCAGCATAGACACCATGTCCTTCCCAAGATGCCCGTGATACGATAAAAGGCCTCTTATTACGAATTTTGACCAAAGAACTGCAAAAAATTCCACCAAATTTATAAAAATCAAATTTTGATTTTTAACTTTTAGTGTCTTACTCATAAGTAACAGCAGCTTCAGCTGTTCCATAGTAATTATGAACATCATAATGCGGCCCTAAGTGATGTTTTGCGTCCATGCAAACTGTTTTTGAAGCCAAGGAATTTCCTACTACATTTGGTAAGTACGGAGGGTAATTCAATGAATTGTTTATTGGGCAGCCATTTATGCGACCATTGTAGAAGTTTGATGGTTCGTTCATATCCTGCAAAATTTTCTTATATATTATACAATGATAAATGATTATAAAGTACCAATGAAAAACTTACAATCCAGGCGCCATCGTACTCAAATTTTTCATGCATACTTTTCATCATAGAGTACCAGTAGTCTCCAGCATTGGGATGAGTGAAATCCGGCCATACTGTTGACACGCGGTTCCACACTTTTCCCTTGAATGGCTCGTTTGTTTCAGGATCTTTTATGAAAATGTCATGGTGTATTCCTTCGTCATAAGGCGGGTATGAGCCGTTTGTTTCAGATGCTGATATTCCTGGATCTATTAGGGGAATGTAATGCATTCCAGCCTGGAAAAATTTATTAATCACAAAATTATATATGGCCGTATAAAAATTGATATTTTACCTCATGAATTTCGTTGACGAATTCAGGAAGACTTTTGAAACGATCTTTGTTATAAGTGAAGTCATTATTGTTATCCATGTAATCTAAATCATTCCATTGGGTGTCGAAGGGAATTCTTGCTGCTCTAGTTCTGTTCCAAACTTCTCTGGTTTTTTCTGATGATCCGTAACCAAATCTTCAAACGAAAAATTTTTAATATGATAATAATGTTACAAAAAGTAATATTTTGTTAGAAACAATAGTTGTTTTTTGGTTTGAAAATTACAAAATGAGAATTTGAAGATTTTGGAACTTAACATAATCTTTTTACATAATTTAAACTTTAAAAAAAAATACAATACCGGCATAAATGGAATCCCAATGACCAATAAGGAGGCATGAAAGGCTTCCCAACAATTTGCGAATACTGCATAAGAACATCTTTGGGAGTTGGTCCCATGAAGAAATACATTTCAAAAATTCCACCAATTGTCCTGAATGTTAGCGCTGGTGTTGGCTGTAGTATAACATCTGCAATGTATATTAATATTATTTCCAAAATTCTTGTGGAATAATTTATAATTTAATGACAATTTTACCCATAGCGTTGCTGTTGAGGAACAAAACACCATGGCAATCACCAGTTTCTTCCATCACCATGTAAAAAGGATGCGAGCCATACAAATTAGCGTTTTCTGTAGGAGGTTGGTCTCGATTGAAAATTGTGAATCTTTGCCAAGTTGTGTTCAGTTTCAAATGCGTTCTATGTTCACCGAGACCGTAGATGTTGTGGGAAGGCAATAATGTGCTTATTTGCAGCATTTGGTCGGCGAAAATAAACCCTCCAGCATTCAAAGAATCGAATCTAGAATGATAATAATTGGACGTTAGTTACTTTTGATCAAGGTAAAAATTATATGAAGTTCTCTTACACAACAATATCGTTAGTATCTCGAACGGCTCTAATCTTAAAACCAGGTTTTGCTTTGAATTCGTCAATTTCAAATTTGTAGAGCTTGTTGTTTGTCTTTTGGTACTTAATGTCCCTTATTGGCCAGTGAGGTTCATGTCGGGATTTACTTTTATCAAAAATCTGTGAACAGATACTTAAAACTTAAGACTAGAGTTCAAAATTTGAAAAAAAAAAAAAAAAAAACAGAAGTAAAATCATAGATTTAATATTTTTTTTCTGTAATTTTTACAGAATTTGTTTTTATAAATTTTCAAACTCAAACCGCATCATATTGATTGATATTACTTACTTTAACTTGTAAAATATTTTCATCTATCCCATGAGCCTCCATTCTAATCGTCTGCAGATCATTTTTATAGAACGAGTCAGCAACTTTTGTCAAATCCCCAACAAAACTATCATTATCTTGCTCAGTGGACCCATATTTATACAAATGCCAGTTCGAGGGGTAAAAGCAGTACGGAATATTAAGCGGGATTTTTTCAGAAATAACATCAATATCTTCTGAGATTGCGTTCCAGCAACATCCCCTGTTGTAGCAAGACAATTCAGAAGCTCCGTTCTCCGGATGACAGTCAAATCTCATTTCCTTACGTATATTGCTGCACTCTTCGCTAGTCGCGATAGGTTTTTCAAAATCGAACCCTTCATTGGAGTCAATTGCCGGTAGTTTAAACGTTTCAAAAATTGACACACTGCTGCTTATACTTATAATTTCTTCCCGAGGAACTTCACTGATAATTATAATTTTCGGGTAATTGACGATAAATAGCCAGCTTAGTACTAGGAGCAAAGAAAAGCCGAACAATAGTGCTAAAATATTGTAAATTGCAAGGCTGTAATTCACTTTTATTAATTGACGCAAGTAATTTGAATCGTTGGCTTCTTTGTTGGTTTTTTCTTTGACACTGTCTGGCAATAATGGAGTCATTTTCTGTAATTAAATTTGAAAAAAGAAAAATCGTGAAAGATATCGTGCTCACCGCAAGTAACTTTTTTTAAAAGACCTCCCGGAGATCTCTTAGAGAAGCTAGAAAAATAATTATTTGTAAAAAAAGAACTTATTAATAAAGTTAAAAGTGACTACTATGTGTCTATAAACTTTTATTATTTAAATATCAATTATTAAAAAATTATAAAAATCAAAATTAACTTACTCGTTTCATTTCAATTGATTGTTATTCAATAAATGCCTGAAGAAGACTGAATATTCTCATGAGAAAAACAATATTCAGTTGACAATTTTTCATATGAATCACTATTTATAACTGAGCAAGCATCTTTATGTATATATATAGATATATGAATGTCTACTCATATTATTATCGTGGTGATAAAAATAATCAACACTTCGCAAGGATAAACGAATGCATTGTATTGTAACAATTAATGAAGAAAGTAAAAAACGCACGAATGGAAACGTGATTTGTTTAAATAAAAATAACGATTCAAAGTTCTACAAAAGCGCTAATATTTGCCGGCTTTACCTAATTACTTGGAAAATAATTATACACTGTGTAGATATATATTAAGTTTGTAACATATGATTGGAATATGAGCGCTATCTCGCTTTAATAAGTTATCGACGCCCTCAACCATATAAATGTAGATATTTTTATAATTTTTTTGTCACTATTTCAAATTCTTTGAGAAATTACAAATTTGGTAATTTTTTTTGTGATTAAAATTTTAAATAAATGTCCTGATAGTCACCTTACCTGAAACTTGCTGTCAATTTACGACCGCAATTTGAAGCAAACTTAACGGAGTTGGCAAGGCAAGCGATTACCTATAAGTTACTCTGCAAATAGACGTCAAAATTTGCTGTACAAGTATTTTAGTCAAATTGCAGTAAAGTTGAAAGGAAATTTAACTACAAGCTTAATTGTTAACTTGTATTCAAGTTTCGGCCGTAGATTTTCGTTATTTGCTTAAAATTGTTATTTAGTGAAGAAGTGGGTGGCTATCACCCTGATACCTACAGTTTCAGACCAACCAAGTTGGTGTCAGATAGTTGCCACCAACTTACCGACAACTTGCGGTCAACTTCCGAATTTGAAACTGTTGGCGTCAAGTTGGCTACAAGTTTCTGAGAAAAACAAGACCAATCTACTGCCGCAATATGTCGCCAAATTTCTCGAGAAACTTGTCGTCAACTTGGTGTGAAAGAGTTTCGAAAGCAATTTCTGCCGACAACTTGGCGACAACTTGGTGAACAACCGAGTTCATTTCCAAGACTTGCCGCCAACTTGGTGACAAGTTGCTGCAGCAAATCAACGGAAAGTTGCGACCGGTTTGGCTATCAAGTCAGGGTGGTGAATTTGAAGATGGTAAAAAAGCTAGTAGAAGGTAAAAAATAGTCGGTAAGAGATAAAATGAAGACTCTTACCGACTGAAGACCACAAACTTACCGAAAGATTATTTCATTTCCGTTTTTTTTAGAGTCTAGATGGCATAACTAGTCAGCTTAGATGATTTGGGATTCCTACTGTTCATTACTCAGCTTTCTTTGTGAGCGATAAAGGCACAAGTTATGAGCAAAAAAGCGATTAACAGATTAATTTTTTAGGGTAGAGAGGAAATAGTTCCTTTCTGACGGATAAAAAATTTTTTATAAGATATAGATGCAGACTTTTGGGGAAGTAAATACAAAATGTAAGGAATAAAGCACTAATATAAGTATATAGAGAGATTTAGCGGACAATAAAGAGGTAGGCACGAATTTTTTATTTCCAATACAGGTAATACGCATCAAAGCAAAACGTAATCGTCTTAAACCTGCTGTCCACATTTATGTGAATGTTCATGTTTTATATATCATAGAGTAAACTCTATTCGTAAACGGATGATGTTGGATCATATTGATTCTCTTAATCTTGAAATAAATTCAACATTTGGATTACTTTTTTCAGTAATGTATAATATAAAGAAAATTTATTAATCGATAATAAATTATCTAATTTGTCCAACTAAAAAATTATTACTTTTAAGTTTTTAATAAATAATTTAGTAAATAAAACATTACATGTTTAATATTTAAATTTTTAATATTTTTGTTTGGATAAAAAATTGGGGCCAAGTTTTTTGCAGTAAAATTTTGTGTTATTAAAAATTTTTTCAGCTTGAATTATTTTTTTTTTCTTGAAAAATTTATTTTTCAATGCAATTATAATTAGTATAATCTGTCAAGTAATTTAAAGTTGTATTTTTTATTAATAAATTCTTGTTAAAATTTATTGAAAATTTTATATTATAATTTTGAATTTTAAACAGATTATAAATTGCTATTTTTATTTTAAATTTAAGGAAATTTAATTATAAAATTTATTTTCAAAAAAATTTTAAGTTCTTAGTTTAAAAAAAGCTCCAAAAATTTAGAATCAAAAAAATTTTAATGGATTGCATAAATAAAAAGAGCTTTGAATGAACAGAAAGTAAAGTCAGTTTGGTTACATATTGAGGAAGATAAGGAATCTCCGTCCTCGGTTGTAATAGGGAAGGTGGAGAATTTGCTGGCTGGTGGGTTTCAATCTGACTGATGGAGCTGGAACTTTCACAGTCTATATATATATAGACAGTAAAGCACAGACACTAAAGCAATCTCTTGACATTAGAATAGATGAGTAAATTTTATCACAGCCAGCAGCCAGACGCTGACATTACGATAGATTACCGACCAACTTTTATTTCCACTGACTAAAAATTACTGACAAACCCAAGGTTCATTTTTGAAATTTAAATGTTTATTTTTAGAAAAAGCTTTGCAAATACCAACGGAGCTACGCCGAGTCTGGATGACTGAAAAATCCAAATGCAAAGATATACAATACCGTGGATCATTATTTAAAAAGTACAGTTCAGTGGAGTTTGTTCGAGTTCGAGTGTCGGAGTGCGAGTTGGAACTGGATTTACTGTCAGTGACTGAAGGAGATAGAAGGGGGTGTAGTGATAAAGGGTCCTGAGGACTCGGTTTCATCCTCTGCCCTTTGATCACATCAGCTATGTCCCTTTTCCTTTTTGATTTGTTTTTATTACTTAAACGTGGAATCATGAATATTAATTAATAAATGAAGCTCCTTGTCAATATATAAAACAGAATACTGTAATTTATAATAAATAGTAATCAATAATATTTCTTGTGTGCCCTGATATGATACTCTACTCCTCAGAGGGTTCAATTCAGTCTCTACTCGGTTTTTTTCCCTGCCTGGACATGAATCACATTACGTGCTAAGTACTACTGCTTATTAACACATCTTTGTGTGGTATTATGTCTTATCCTTTTTACTAATCATCTACAAACACACTTTACACTTTATTTTGATGAAAAGTATTGTAATTGTACACGGAAAAAAATCAACTGTAATAAGTTAAATAAATAGTAATCAATTTATAATAAATAATATTTCAAAGAGTTAACTCGTGATTTAAACAGTTAATTTGTGATATTTATCATTCAAATATTACAATTAAATAATTATACAGAAAAAAATAGGATTTTAAAGAGTAATAAAAACTATGTAAATGTCGAAAAAGTTTAAGTATAATAATTAATAATTCCAACTTCAATGTTTATCATTTTGCATGTTAAAGATTATCGTATGTGTAAAATATATCAAGAAAGGTTACTAAATTTCTATAGTGAAAATTTTAGATTTTATTGTAGCCAATGTCAACATTTACAAGGTAAAATAGTCCATTTTTAATGCAACGATAAAAACTAAACTATTATTATTGAAGGCGCTTTTTAATGTTTAAAACGATAATTTATAGAGTGAGGGTCGTTATTTATTTTAGTTACCGCTACAAATAATTTTTTTTAATAATAAATTATAAATATAGGCTTTTATACTTTTTTAAATTATGTTTTGTAATATTTAATCGACTCCGGAGTCCGATGTACCATTTGAAACACTAAAAAGTAACCAGAATCTGAATAAAATTTTATTATTTAGTTTCTTCTGTATAAAAAATTCAATATTTTATAAAAATTTTCAATGATTATATTTATAGAATTTTTACGAGTGAAAATTAGACTTTAAAGTCATAATTTGTAACCAAAATATCCAAATTTTTACTAAAAAATTTTCTTTAAAACTTTGTATTGTAATTTTGAAAAATATTTACAGTAATAAATTTATTTAATTAAAAAAAAATTTGTTTCCCAATTTTAATGTCTTAAAAACAGACTTTAAACAACATTTTTTTTTGTAAAAAATATTTTACTATATAAAATAAAATAAAATAATTGCACGCCTTTTAACGTAGGCTGAGATAGTGCTTTATTGTCAATACGTCCAGGTTAAAAAATTTTGTGGTCTTAAAATGCCCCTTAATTATAAATTATAAGTTAAAAAATTTAAAAATAATTTATTAAACCGTCTATATAATACAAAAAAGTCAATAATACGAATTATTTTTTTCTTAAAGATCAAATTAACATTATGAGGTGTGTCTTTTTAGTTTTTTCAGTCTAATTTTGAACAGATCTTGAAACAACAATTTTAAAACCAAGAAATGGAATTCTTAAATTAGCTCAAAAAAATATTTCTCGAATGAATTAATTTTTTCTTTATAAAATCTACAATAACCACAAAATAATTAGAGTACAGCGTAATTTTTTACAAAAGATCCAAGTTAGTACTAGTACTAGCTAGTACTAGTGTAGTAAAATAAAAAGGTAAAGAGAGTTGAATTGCGGAGCATCGGAGAAGTGGTCTCGCAAAGTGGGATTAAAAAAAGTATTATAAAAAACAAACTTGTGATGGCATACAATAATAGTGTTGAAGAGAATTGGTATATAGTTGTTCCGGGCGGGATGGATCAGCATGAAGATCGGCGGAGATCAAAGCCCCTGGGGTGACCCGGTGGCGACGGTGGTGACGACTTCTTCCCAGATTCAGATCCACCCTCTCGCATTTGCTTACACTCAACCTCCGACTCAAGTGGCATCAACTAAAAGTGGAATCGGGAAAGAATATAGAGAACCCAACCCGCCACGGGCTCATGCGTAAAACGATCCCACTGCAAACAATCACGATTTGTTTAGGTATAACAATCTCTTTCTTCTTCCTTGTTTGTCTCTCGGAAAAAAGCTATAGCTAGCTCTATGTACTCCTCTCATCTGGAGATCGAGATTGGGCTCAGCTTCGGTACAGAGATCTGT